TAGTACCCCTGGCGTAGCAATGTTTTTTCCAAACTGCGGGCCCTCGCATGCATGCCACAAGTACCACTGTGCACCTCCGCGAGTGCTATCTGCCCTTCCTCATTGCTCAAGCATCTTAGATATGCGCCTGAATGTGACCTCTTATACAGGCGCCCTTCGATTATGGAGCACCGAGCCGCCTTCCGCCTGAGCCGCCATGCTTCTTTTGAGTCTTCCGGGGTGGTGCCCATGGTGAGGTATGCTACGATGGGCGTCATCCAATTGTCGTCCTCCGTGGAATTTCCCATGGTTGCTATCACGTACTCTGGTGGAACTTCTTTTGTGACAATGACTTTCCTTTCTTCAGCGAAGTCTAAAGCCGTAGCCAACTTTGACAACGCGTCTGCATGGGCGTTATCTTCCCTCGGGACATGCGCAAATTCCACCTCCCTGAACCAGGTGCCCTCTCTTCTGACCGCTTGGACATAGGCTTCCAGGGCTTCCTCCTTCACATCGAACGTCCCATTGAGCTGGTTGACCACCAAGGCTGAATATGATTTAACACTGATCATGGCAAACCGTAGGGCAACCTCGTGCATGACTCCACTAGGGCTGATAATTACTATCCCTGCTCCAGCGCCCACTCGACTCGCCGCCCCGTCCACTTGAACTTGCCATGTATCCTCGTTGGCCCCCTCATCCTCCACTGTTCCTTCTGCCACGAAATCAGCAAGCATCTGGGCTTTGATGGCAGGCCGAGGCGCATACCTGACATCAAACTCACTTAGTTGCACGGCCCATTTAACGTGGCGCCCTGCCACATCCATAGAGCCCAAGGTGGACTTGAGCGGTAGGTTAGTGAGTACAAACAATAATGGCATGCGCCTGGAAGTACGGGCGCAACTTCGTGGCGGCTGTCACGACCGCCAAAGCAGCCTTTTCAATAGGCGCATATCGCTTTTCGTGGGGGCCCATTGTTTTACTCACATAGTAGACTGGTCTCTCTTCTCCTGAAGGCGCCTCCCTTGATACCAACACTGCAATAACCGCCGTGTCTGAGACCGCTATGTACAAATATAACACCTTGCCAGCCTTGGGTGCTGTCATTACCGTGGGCGCCGCCAGGAGGCGCTTCAGCTCCTCAAATGCCTTGCTACACGCATCGTCCCATTGGAAGCGGACTCCCTTCTTAAGCACCCTAAAGAAGGGAGCGGCCTTGTCAGCGGACCAGGGTATGAAGCGCCCCAACGCTGCAAGTCTCCCCGCCAAACCTTGTACTTCTTTGGGTGTTCTTGGCGGTGTGAGCTTGATGATGGCCTCCACCTGCTTTGGATTCGCCTCGACCCCTCTATTGGTGATCATGAAGCCCAGAAATTTACCCGCTTCGGCGCCGAAGACGCACTTGAGGGGGTTGAGTCGAAGGTTGTGAAGACGCATGGTTTCAAAGGTCTCTCTCAAATCATCTAGGTGGTCCTCCCGCCTACGGCTCTTGACTATCAAGTCATCAACATACGCCTCCACATTCCGTCCGATTTTTGCCGTTGGAAGAGTGTATTCACCATTTGTTGGTACGTGGCACCTACATTCTTTAGCCCAAACGCCATTACCCTGTAGCAAAAGTTTCCGAAGGGCGTCATGAACGCCGTCTTCAACCGGTCCTCCTCGACCATGGGGATCTGATGGTACCCTGAAAACATGTCGAGAAAGCTAAGCATCTCATGGTATGCGGTGGCGTCTACCAATAGGTCAATTCGGGGCATCGGGTACGCATCCGTTGGACACGCCCTGTTGAGGCTCGTGAAATCAACACACATTCTCCAGTCTCCTTTCGGCTTTAGGACAAACACCACATTGGATAGCCACGTCATGTAGGCTGCTTCTTCCACGAACCCGGCGTCCAGGAGCTTATTCACCTCCACTCTGAGCATAGCCTCCTTCTCTTGCGACAGATTCCTCCTCTTCTGCTGAACGGGCTTCTTCCCCCCTTCTACCGCCAACCTATGGACAGTCGTTTCAGGTGCCACCCCGGGCATTTCCTTGGCACTCCACGCAAATAACTCCGCGAATTCTCTCAATACCGCAACCAACTTTTCAACCATTTCAGGAGGCGCCTGTACTGAAATCCTTATCTGCCTTTTCGGTCTGCTCTCGTCTAGGTGAATCATCAACTCTTCATCGGCTGCATCAGCCCTGGGCGCCTCTTCCGTGGTAACCATATTCACCCTTTGACTTTTTCGTGGTCGCCTGCTCTTCAGTTGAGCATAAACTGGGGCGCCTCTTCCCCGAGCAATGCCTACTCCCTGCGGTGCTATAAATTTCAACGTCTGATGGCACGTAGATGCCACCCCATTGAACAAGGCTAAAAGGGGCCTGCCAAGTATTGCATTGTAGGGGGACGGGCAATCCACAATCCCGAAATCAATAGCGTGTGTTACCCGCTGCTCCTCGTCGCCCAGAGTGACGGGGAGGCGCACACGCCCGATAACCTTTGTGGGCGCCCCCGAGAACCCAACCAATACCGAATCCGATGGCCGTATCAAGTCGGGAGACAAATGCATACGTGCTACTGTGTCCTTGAACAGCACATCCATGGAGCTCCCCGTATCTACAAGCATCCTGTTCACTGTGCACCCGACTACTATCCCTTGAATCTCCAGTGCTTCCAAGGAGGGTATCCCATAGGCTTCATCAGGCGCCTGATTGAAGCTAATGCACACCCCCTCTTGCCTGTCAACCGCCACCGCTTTCAGGCGCCTGCTAGCTTCCAGCTTATCCCTGAGGTCCATCGTGCCCGTGATCGCTTCCATCGTAAGCCTCACCTTCTCGGGCGCCTTCTCTTGTTCGAGCTCAAATGGAGGCGGGGGTAGATCCTCCTTTGGCTCAGCCTTGGCTACATACGCCCTGTGCACCCTCTCTTCCGATTTTTTGACGAACTCATTGAGCATGCCCCTGTCCACCAATCCTTGCAATTCAGTCTTCAGCTGGTAACAGTCAACCGTATGATGCCCTCGCTCCCGATGGAAGTCGCAATATCGGTCCAAATTCTGCGGATTGGGCTGCCCTCTCATAGGCCCCGGCCACCTCACATGGTAGCCCTTATCTTTCACATATTGCAACACGTTTTTCGGCGAGTCGCTGAGCTCTGTGAATTGGTTTGCCCTAGGCGCCGGGCGTCCCTGATCACTCCTCCTCGATCCAAACGACATTCCTCCAAAGGCAGGCCTGGATTCAGGTGCCTGCCTCCGCACTTCATCTCCTATTTCACCCTTCGGGCGGCGCCTATCAGCGCGTCTGGCCGCCAGCGTCTCTTCCAAAACTATGACTTTTTGCACCCTTCGATCCAAATCCTCTGTAGACACCACGTCTCGCTTAGAAAGCGCCCGACAAAGTTCTTCACTCGTGGTGCATTCCTCTAGGAGGACCCCAAGCACCGGAGGGTGCACATCTCTCACTGCCATTGCCACTGGTATCCATCGCTCGTAGAACTCCCTCAAGGTTTCCCCCTCCTTTTGCTTAATCTTGAATAGGGCGCCTACGGTCAGCGTCTGCCTTTTCCTGCTCGCAAACTTGGCTAGAAACATCACCGCGAATTGCTCAAAGCACTCTATGCGCCCTTCTTCTATCTGATGGTACCAATCTAGGACCACGCTGGCGAAGGTCGACGGAAAAACCTTACACAAGGTCGCGTCCGTACTGTTATACAGCTGCATTTTGGTGAAGTAGCTGTTTAGGTGATCATCCGGATCCGCCGTACCATCGTAGGTGGGAAGGGGTGAAATGTTGGTACTGGCGGGCTCGGCGAGCACACTCCTGGCCAATGGCTGCCTCACCACAAACTGACGAGGTGGGCGCCCCTGCATCCACACGTTTCTCTCTCCCTCAGAGTCTCCATAGTCAGCTAGGCGCCTCATGCTAGCTAGGCGCCTCAGTGAGTTGGACTCCCCTTCGGCCTCCATCGTCCGTTCCCTCTTCCTGGTCATTGGGCTAGGCGCCCCTTCCTTCAACATCTCCACCTCCCTCCGTAGCATCCCAATAGCCTCATCTTGGTTAGCTATGATCTTGAACAACTCCTTCTTGGTGACCGAGGCCTCGTCTGAACTCAGGTGCTGGTCTTCACTCCCTTCACCCTCATCCCTACCAGGTGTTCGTTCTCTTACTTCTTGAGACGCCTCCCCCATAACATGCTCCTCGACTTTGCTCCCCCCTTCCTCCATTGAAACAAAGGCGCCCCTTCTAACAAGCTGCTATCTGATTGCCTGAACTCCTACGCCCGTCCCCACAGACGGCGCCAATTGTTGAAGCCCCTTTGATTCACCCACTCCACCTCCGTACCGAACTCCTGGCTCCACGAACCTTCCTGCACACACAGAGGTGGGCCTTGTGGCCCGTTAATCCTCCAACGCTCAAGTCAGCCTCTTTCTTAGAGAGAGAAGTATTTTGTCAATAGAAATCTTTTTAGTGAGAGAAGCTAACCTCCATAAATGTTTGCCAACCACCATATTTATAACTGTTCATTACTCACCTTGGCTGGGCCGTACAAGCTTCCACGTCAGCACCGCATTTAATGTCTCATTTCAGGCGAGGCGCCTGTCTCGTCCCTCCAATGGGAGGTACGCTCCAGGCACCTTTAGTGTATGTAGACATCCACCTTCGCACCCTCCAACGCCTCGACTGACCGTGCTTTTCTATGCGCACTTAACTAAGCCCTGGACTTTAACTAACTGGGCTCCCGCTCCCATGACTTTGGGCTTCCCATGCTCACTAGGGCCTCATTCTTCTCTGGGCTCCTTTAAAATCCGTCTCCCGCATGTCTTGTTGGTACGTCAGACTCTTTATGAATGCCCCCCAACATTTTTCTTTATATCAAATAACGCCTTGTATCATATAATAATAGAAAATAAATTACTGTAAGTACTAATTTTTCTTGTAATAATCCTTCTTTTTTTTTGTTATAATACAATAAATAACTCTGGCCTCCGATCGTCAAATCCTGGCTCTCCGCTAGAAGGGAATTGTTGTCCCATGAAATGGATTTTTGATTTGGCTGATTGTTAGAGGAAAAGATTCGAACAAAGAAGAAGATGAGTCAATGGGATTTTCTAGCTCCTTTCCATTGTAATCTCTGTAACCATGGCTAAAATAATCCATCTCTTTGGCGAGTGTGATTACTGATTACTACAGAGAGTTGTTCCCAGCTTTGTTTTGCGGCTATATACTTTTTTGACATTCTAATACTGTACACTGCGATAATCATGAAACTCAAAGATTATAATGAGTTTTGCATCAGCGAGATTTTCCATATCAAATACAATTAGGAGAAGAAAATATTAAAAGGTGTACGGTTAAGTGACAAATTAGAAGGGGTTGCAGCTGTGCTTTAGAGGGGTTGATGATGAAAGTGGCTCTTTCCAAAATCTAGCGGGCAACCCTTCTAGAGGTACAGGGAATGGACTATATTGAACTCCATTTGCCTTCCCCGCCACTTCCCACCTGCAAAACCAAACAAAACAAAACACAACCCAAAAATATACATAAATCAGCCATCTCTCATGGCTCAGCCCTAACAATTTGGGCAGGACCCATTCCCCCACAATAAGAGCTAATATTAACGGTGTTTGTAAAATCGTATTGTATTGGCGGTCTGAACAGGAAAAACCTTTTCTCGGAGTCTAAATCGATAGATGATTTTTAGCGGTATTTTTGTTTGTTTTACTGTGGCTGTTAGGAAATGATATATATATATATATTCCCTATGTTTGTAGGTACCTGAAATTGGTAAGAAGGTGATGGAGGAAGATGAGGACTTCAAGTTTGGCAAGTTCGTTTCCTGGGCAAGCGTGCGATCCATTCCCAAATGGCATGAATGTATTGGGCCTTGGAGGAACCTGTTTTAATACCCCCCAACCAAACCAAAGAAGAGAGCAGCTTTCAAATCAGATTCTGGCAGAAAATGTCATAGTCTTCTTCTAATTGGGCTTTTTGGCTTTTTATCTCTAGTTTCTACTACTTGGGCCAATGGCTGACCACTATTTGTCTGGAAAAATACCCTCAATAAATACAACCCAAAAAAAAAAGGGACAATATTATTACCTCAAATCTAGAAGGGTCAAATTTTTGTGGATCAGGAAAAAATTCTGGGCTGTGATGAATGTTCCTGAACAGTGGCATCACTTTCCACCCTTTTGGTATCAAGTACCCTACAAACATATTGCCATTTATATGTGTTCAGAAACCAATACAGAAAAAAGGAAAAGTTCTAGCACATTCTGCCAAAAAAATAGAGTAAAAAATGGAGGGACTGAAAGTAAATTTGCCATTGCTATCATCATGCACCTTTGTATTCCACATCAGCTACTGCTTCTCTGAATGTGAATGATATGATACTGGCCATCCTCAAGCTCTCCATAATCACCTGCATGCATGTGTGGGACAGGATAGGGTAATGGCGTTTAAAGTATTGCTTATAAAATTCAAATTAATTATTAAACCAATATACTAAGAGATGCAACGACGGCTGATTAGATTATTTTCCATTTCGAATTTAATAACAAATATTATTTTTAGCATAGCTATTCATTCACACAAGCGTCACGAGAACAAACTAGTGTCGTATGTCTAGTCTAGATCATGTCAAGCGAGAGCTCACGTTGAGAGTTAACACGAGGCGTTAAATTTTGAGAAAAATTTTAATCCACAACCACCAGCATTCCTAATTTTTTTTTATATTATAATTATGATAAAAACAAGGGCGTAATCAATGAAGATGTGACATATATACCTACCCTATACGTAAGAGGCATATTCCTGATCTGTCCCCATGTTAAGCACTCCCCGCCTCCCTCGTTGGCTTCATAAATCGCAATTTGCTCCGCCTGCCAAATCATTTAATCACCGGTTAACTCTGAAAACGCTAATTAATTAAACATCCCAGCCAGTCGTCAGACATTTAATTTATAGTTTGAATTAATATCTGGGCCGGCCGGTCACCTACCTTGACGGCTTGGAGTAGGTTGTGGTCGTCGGCGAGGAACTTAAGCACCCAAGTCAACACGCTAGCCGTAGTGTCCCGCGCCGCGAACACAACCCCGATGATATTGTCGGCGATCTCCTCGTCGGTCAACGTTCCACCCTCCCCGTCCTTGAAATCGAGCAGCTGTCCCAGCAAGCCCTCCTTTTCAACGCTACTACTACTTTTCTTCTCCTTATTCCGCCGATCCCTCGTTATTATTATTATCTCGCGCACAATCTCCCCCAGCCGCTTCCTCGCCGAGACAGCCCCGTGGTAAGCCGTCCCTGGGATTCTGTTGGGGAAAGAATTGTAGCCCTTCTCCACTATTCCGTAGTTACGGCTCAACTCTCGCTTGCAACGGCCGTCCACTACTTCTCCGAAGACGGCCAGAACGGCGACGTCGAACGAATACTTTTTCAGCTCGTGGAAGGTGGAGACGACTGCGGAGGAGGCGACGAGGGAGTGCAAAGAAGAGAGGGCTAAGGACTGGATGCGAGGGGTGAGGTGGCGGAGGCGGCGGTGCGGAGAAAGCGAGGCATGGACGAGCTTTTTCAGGCGAGAGTGGTAATCACCCTGGTGGAAGAAGAGAGCCGACTTCCCGATGAGCATTTCTTTGGTTTTGGGGTACGTGGGTTTGAAGAGATGGGCAGCGGTGACCAGCACGAACCGGGCCGCATCCGGGCTGGCCAGCATGACGCAAGGGCAGCCCAGGATGCTGGTCTTGAACACGTCCCCGTAGCTCTTCTTCCTTGTGGCGAAGAAGAGGTTCGGGTCATGTTGGGAGTAGAGTTGGAGGGTTTCGCCCAGGTAAGGCCATCCCATTTTCCCCGGTGGGAGCTTCGGATTCTCCTCGTCGTCGTCGTTGTTGTTGTTGACGACGATTGGTTTTAAGATTTTCACGAGGAAGTGGTAAGAGAGGAAGAGGCAGAAAGTGTAGATGAAGATCGTGGACGCGAACTCCATGCAAATAGCTTAGTTTAGTTGTTTCGAGGTCTTTGGTGCTTTGTAGTTTTGTGGGGCGGGGTGGGATTTGGTTTTGGTGGGTTTATTTATATAGAGGAAGATGTGGGTGAAACATGGCGATTGCTCGATCAAGTATCAACTAAGAAGCGATTTTTTCTATGATTGTTTGGTTTATTTGTTTATTATATACATTTTTATTGCTATTTGGGGGGCGGGTGTCCAAGTGTAAATGGTGCTAAAGTCGCCCAAGCAAAATCCTAATTATGAGACATACTCAGTCAGATACACCACGCTTGTTACATCTGTCCTCCCAACCAAACAATGCAGGGTGGTTGTGTTGTGTACATGTGTGTATTTTTAAGAAACATATATACATGCATCTAACTCATTTATATTATCCTTTTGGTACGTGATTTTTATGGAATGCAACGAAATGATTGTTAACTTTGGATATTTTGTCAAGATAGATTCCAAGTCAAATAAAGTGGTTGAATGTTGTCAATCCCATTATTCATCACTATTCCTCTTCGATTTTGGTACATCAACCTTCATCGTTAATCATATGATATATATATATATATAGAGAGAGAGAAATAATATAAATTCTAAAAAGAAAAGATATGCCATCTATTTATTAACTCTTAAGAACATATCCCGTATATTATAAAACAACTGATCATAATATTTAGAATACATCGCACAACTCACTGACGGTCATTACAAACAGTAGTTATATATCCGTTTAACTTAATCCACCGATCAATAACTAATTATAATTATTCACTTGTCCAATCGTCTTTATTTCTCTATATGCAGTCTACATGGGATAAAAAAAACTCCTTCTCCTTTCCTTTTTGTGTTGTGGAAAGCGTCTATATTTTGAACCTCAACTCATGTGTCTCACTACCAACCTTAATCCCACAATGAGTGTTAATATAGTAACTGCGTCTAATGCAAAAAATTTAAGTTTTTTCTAGTAATATATTTATTCTCAATCTAAATATTGCTATTGTGCATTGACTTGAAATCTCACGAACAACAATGTTATATGTTTCAACATCATAATGAAACTAAAAAAGATTCATATCATTAGTATCGCACTTTTGCGTTGACAAAAAAGAAAACACACTACAAAAAAGAAGAGATTTGGGGACGACAAAAGTCGTCCCATGAAATAGGTAAAATTGTCCCCATAAATATCAGGAACGACTAAGTTGTCCTTAATGTATGGTCCCTTATACGCTTGTCCTCTATTCTTTTGGGGACGACAAAAATCTAAATCGTCCCCACCACTAGGGACGACATTCGTCCCTGATGCTCACATGCTGTCGTCTCGTTCATTTCCATAAAAGACACCATGTCGTTCCTATAGCCTTTACTTCGATGACCATAAGTCGTCCTCTAAACATAATTTCTAGGGACAAAAGGTTGTACCCTATAATGGGCTTTTTAGCATTAAATTTGATATGCCCCATAAATATGACAATGGGGAACAACGAGAGCAGTATCAAAGTTGTGGACTCCCTCCCTCCCGCTGGCTGTGGGCTTTAGGATAGGACACAAATTTCAAAGGGTGTAGTTGTGTCATTTCGCTGTCTAACGCACATTCTCACTCAAAATAAATTAATTCCCAAATATGGTTAGCAATTTCGAAAATTAACTAATAAATAATAATAATTGAGCGGCGAGCTTGGATCAGACGGCGCTTCATGTGCCGATGTAGGACCGGAGCTGACCTACTCAGGCCCAACCGCCCAAACGGACCCCAGCCGTGGGCTGCGGCGCATTCCGGCCCTCACGTTTTCACTTTTCAGCCACTCGGATTGTTGTGATAGTTTATACCTCCCCGTGATCCAACGGCAGAAAACGCGTCACATCGTAGCAGCGTCTCATTGATTCAAGTTCCAGAATCGTTCTGAAGCGGGATTCAAATGGTTACCATGGTTATAACCAAACTAAATAAGGCTAAATTCTATTAACCATGGAATACAATATCATAACTAAACCGTCCAAACTAATACAACAACCAAATCAACCAAACTAAAGTTTAATCCGTTTGGTTAATTGGTTAACCAGATTAACCAATATAAAATCACATTATCATTGACGATGAAAATATTTCGGTTAATGCAACAATTCGCAATTTATATAATGAATAAAACATAACAACCAACACGTAGTTAAAGTTGACCCTTAACAAAAATACATGCAACTAAGACAATTATCTTACGATTAGTATAGAAGTATTCACCTAACAAAAATACTAGCAACTAAGACAATTATCTTACGACAATGGTATGGGTTAATGAATTGTTGTGTTTGTGTAAATTGACTTGGGGTCGTTTGGATGAGGAATTCTTGTTTGAGTCTAACTGGGTGTAGGAGTGAGACTCGTGAAGATGGGTCAAGGAGAGTAAGCAATGGGAGAATAATCGTTGATGGAAGAACTGAGGAAATTACGAATAGAGTTGAGAGAGAAGTATTTTAGAGAGAGAAGTTGATAATCTTAGAGATAGAGTCAGAAAAATCCGATCCCCTCACCCATCGGAGTAAATGCTCTATTTATAGGCTACATGGTGGTAGGTGAGGGACATGATGACATGACCACTGACATGTCAGAAGACTAGACCATGCCTCTACCTAGGACAAGTACATCTAGCCTTTTATTATACCTAGGACTAGTGCTAGGACTGTGATGTGACCACTTGATGGACGAGACGCGGCGTCATTTTCCACACTTGCTAGCCTGGTCAGCGCCGCGCTCGGACGTCGTCGTTTGGTACTCGGCCTCTTTGATCGCGTGGGTGCTGATGTGCATGGCGCTCTTGGTGAATACGCTTTCCGGTGTGTTTTCCTGGTCGCATCAATGATAATGCGCTCCTTTACTTGGACGCTCTTAGTGCTTCTCTGGCGCAGCGGGATCCGAGTCGCATACCCAACAATTGCCCCCCATCAGGGGGTGTTCTGTGAATACCGCCTGTTTGTCTTCTGCGCGATTGACTCGATACCGCGCGACTTTGTGGGTGTTCTAAGGTTGGCGTCTTCTGATTCCCGCGCGATTTTCGTGCGCTTGATCGTCGGAAGATTGATTCGAGTCTGCTTGATCGTCGGACGACTTCTTTGGGACTGGTGGTTTTGACTATTGCGCGCAATTGCTTCGGCTGCGCGCGATGCCCTCTACTTTAAGCATGAAAACATTCGTTTTTTGCGCGATTGCTCTTCGCGATTGCTTTGACTGCACGCGACGCGCGCGATTGACTCGGGTTTACTTGATCTTCGCGATTTTTTGGGCTGGTGGTTTTGACGATTGCGCGTGATTGCTTTGACTGCGCGACGCCTTCTGCTTAGCTTGGGCTTTTGGAGCGTGTTTTTTCTCCCCGTGGGTGTGCCATGCCCCCCAGGCGATGCGCGGAGCTTGTGACGTCATCGGCTAGTGCCTATGCCTATGCTAGGTGTCCACGTGTCCTTGTATGGGTGGTCAGTTGTGGCGGTCGTTTTGAATTTCGAAAAAGTTCTGACGGTTGCGTTTTTCGACGCAACTTCAACCGTTCGGTTTCCTTCTCTCAGATATAAATAGTTGGCCATCAGGGGGGATTGAAACCCACTTTGCCTTGTTGAACTCCGTGTCTTATTCTCTCTATATTGGGTGTGTTCGGGATTCCTCTCCTTCTTCTACAACCTCTTTTCTCAACTTGTTGTTGTCAAACTCAAGGATTTGCTATGGCTAACATCAACGTCGACGAGATCGAGGTCGTGCAAGGCGAAGAAGGTAATCTCTCCTCTAATTCCCGTGTTTCAACTGATCCTTCGTTGGATCTTGATGATTCCGGCCACGGGGGTGGCGGCGGTGCTGGCGGCGATGGGGTTCCGGCGACGCCGTCTTACGACGTCGATTCGGACCAGGATTATCGTGGTTCGTCCGATGCAGATGCGACGGTGTCTGGGAGTGGGCCGTCCGGCACCGATGATCGTGGTGTGTTGATAATCCTCCGCGACCGTGCGAGTGGGTCTAGGGATGCGGATCATGAAGCGCTAGACGGGTCCGGTGCGCAATCAGAGCCGCGCTTCATCGCGCGCGTGTCTGAGGCGATTAGCCGCCTAGGGTTCCGCGGTGTTGGTGCAGAGTACAAAATAATTGATTGGGCGGAGATGTGGGGTGATCAGCCAGCGCCACAGGACAGTCTCCTAAGGGGTCCCGACCACGCTTCAATATACGGGCGGAAGGAAGTGACGGAGATCGTGCGCGGGTTGGGATTGCCCCCCAATTGGGAGTACGCGATTCCCTCTACGCGGAGTACCGTTGGTAATTGCCCCCCAGGATGGTTCGGGGTGTATACCGAGTACTGGGTGATGGGGTTCAAGTTCCCCATTGATCCGCTGTTGTGCGCGCTATACAGGCGGCTCAGATGCTCGGTTGGGCGCCTCTCTACTTCGGTCATTATGCACGCAAGCTGTCTCCGCCTTGCGTGTAAGAGGCTTAACATTCAACCGACTTATGGGCTGTTTCATAAGATGTACAAGATCAAGGAGCCCACGAGAAGGAGCGACTGTCTCTCCATCAGGCGGCGCGACAAGAGGCCTGATGGTTTCGTGTACGGGTCGCCCAAGTTGAAGAAGACTTGGTTTGAGCGCTTCATCTACGTGAAGCCGACTCCGGGAGAGTGGGCGAGTGAGTATATGGAGGAGCCCACATATTGGAAGAAAGGTAGCACGCATGGCTACGAGCGTGACCTAAGCAAATACGACAGGCTCGACGTTGAATATGAAGCGTGCCTGAATCAGAAGTTTAACCTATATAATGACGGGGTCCGCGAAGCTTGTTTGGCGGAGCTCTTTGCTGATGGTTAGTTGTGTCTCTTTCCTTATGCATTCTATCATATTAACCGTTCTCTTACGATTTATTGGCGCAGATGTTGACTTCTCCAACCTAGTCAGCATGATGTCGGTGGACGACGTGGTCGTCAAAGCTCCGTGAGCTTCGCGTGGCGGAAAGAGGAAGTCGAAGGAGGCCGCGCCGTCTGAGCGCGCGAAGAGGAAGGGGATTGAGCAGCCATCAGTGTC